CCTTCCTCTCTGTAAAAAATTAATAAAATATATTATTTTTAAAAAAATTTTTAAAGCCTTGGATTTGAAGTCCAGTTCTGCTATACACTTGCTGTGTGATCTTGGTCAAATTATTTACTCTCTCTGAGTTCAGTATCCATGGGAAAAAGAAAATATACCTTAAGGGACTATTATGAGTATTAAATGAAGTTAAAGACATGTAAAGAACATGATATAGTAAATGCTCAATAAAGGGCAGTAACCTTCCCTATAACCCTCCTCCTTAAATAATTGTAGATTTCTCAGCTAGTAAGCTAGTAAGCATAGGACTTAAATGCTGGTCTCCTGGTTTCCTTAATCTGTTTTTTTTTCTTACCACATCACTTTGGCAGACTGCCACAGACTACTGGGCACATGAATACATTCTGACAAAAACTGTTCACAAAATTTTTATCTATCAGTAACTAATTGTAGTTTTGGAAAAAGAAAAAAAATAGATCTAATTATTATAACTTGGGGAGGGGGGAAGAAGAGGATTTTAAAATATAAATACAGACCACCACCAACAGGACAGGTTGTACCATAGTACTTCTGTATAAACAGAAATTATGACAAGAAACAGAAAGTTCTCTTTGAGTTTATGAGGAACAATTGGAGAAAGAAACAAGAATGACTATGATTAAAGGAACTTAAGGGTTTCTTTTCTCTTTATTTTTATTTTTATTTTTGGTAAACCAAACCACTAGGTAAAAAAAAGATTTGCATTCCATTCCAAAATAACTCTATCAGGGCTTATCTTTAAAAAAAAACAAAAAAAAAAAACCTGCCCTAGCCGGTTTGGCTCAATGGATAGAGCGCGGCCTGTGGACTGAAGGGTCCCAGGTTCAATTCTGGTCAAAGGCACATACCTTGGCTTCAGGTTCCATGACCCTGACCCTGGTCATACAGGAGGCAGAGAGCATGCAGGAGGCAACCAATTGATGTATCTCTCCCTCTCCCTTCTATTCTCTCAAAAAGTCAATGGGAAAATACCCTCAGGTAAGGATTAACAATAACAAACAAACAAACAAAAAAGACCTACCGCATTTTTCCGGCGTATAAGACGACCTCCTAATTTTTTTTTTTATTTTTAATTTTTATTTTTTACAGTTGAAACATAGGTTTAGGCCTATATTCGCTGTATAAGACTACCCCCCACTTCAAGATCTGCAGATAATTTTTGTGCAATTTTGGTCTTTTGCCCCTGATTTTCGGTTGACTTTTTTTCGTTTCAAAAGTCGTCTTATACGCCTGAAAAGACGGGCAAGCCCTGGCCAGTGTGGTTCAATTGGTTGGACCATTGTCCCATGGACAGAGACATGGTAGGTTTGAATCCCGGTGAGGAAACATGCCCAGGTTGCGGGTTCGACCCCCAATGGGGGCACATGCAGGAGGCAACCAATCCATGTTTCTCTCTCACATTCATATTGGTTTCTTCCTCTCTCTATCTCATCAATTAAAGGAAAATAAATAAATAAATAAATAAAGACCTAAGTATGCTAAGAAAAGCTTTTCTCCAATTCCTTTAAGATAAATTGTCAACATAAACTGCAAACATTCATGAAGATCCTTGAAGACCATAACGTCTGGATTCAGTATAATATGTAGCTTAAAGGAGCATGATCAAAATGTTTCATAAATTTCCTAACAAATGTTGAAAATATTCTGAAAATATACTGTACAAAGCTAAATTATAAAAATAACCCCCTGTTTTCAAGTGATATACATAACTCCTTCCAGGGCAAGTTCTACCAGTAGAAGACATTCAAAGAAGTTCACATCTTCCCAAATCCCCAAGAACTTTCTTATTAAAAGAAAAGGTAGCCCTAGCTGGTTTGGTTCAGTGGATAAAGCATCTGTAGACTGAAGAGTCCCAGATTCGATTCCGGTCAAGGGCACATGCCTGGGTTGCAGGCTCCATCCCCAGTGTGGAGCATGCAGGAGGCAGCCGATACATGATTCTTTCTCATCATGGATGTTTCTGTCTCTCTGCCTCTCCCTTCCTCTCTGAAATCAATAAAAAAAATTTTTTAAGAGAAGGTAGAATAATTTACCGTATTTTCCGGCGTATAAGACGACCAGGCGTATAAGACGACCCCCCTAATTTTACAGTTAAAACATAGGTTTAGGCCTATATTCACTGTATAAGACTACCCCCCTACCCCCCACTTCCGAGGCAACACCAGTTCTTTTTTTAATAGACCGCCTCTCTGACTCTGGCCAGTCTGAGCAGGCTTTTTACTAGAACACAGTGTCGCCTTATATGCCGGAAAATACACATTCCTAGCCTGTAAATTTCTAAAAGGAAATGCCAGAAGAGAGGGTGATCTGACACTGACAGAACAAAACACAATTTCACCAAGAAAAGTAAAAATTGAATGAATTTCTATCATAAAGCACGGAAGAAGCTGATAAGCTATATCCTGGAAACCTCCCTACCATAACCAAATTTCTTGTCCTCTTCAACTTAAACCTTTGCTAATTCCTTCCTATGAAGACAGAACAAAATGCCCAGCCAGTGTGGCTCAGTGGATTGAGCATGGACCTATAAACCAGGAGGTCACAGTTTAATTCCCTGTCACGGAACATGCCCAAGTTGGGGGGCTCAATCCTCAGTGGGAGAGTGTGTGCAGGAGGCAGCCTATCCATGATTCTCTCATCATTGATGTTTCTATCTCTCTCTCCCCTTCTCCCTTTCTCTCTGAAACCAATAAAAATATATTTAAGCCGAAACCGGTTTGGCTCAATGGATAGAGCGTCGGCTTGGGGACTGAAGGGACCCGGGTTCGATTCCGGTCAAGGGCACGTACCTTGGTTGCGAGCACATCCCCAGTAGGGGGTGTGCAAGAGGCAGCTGATCGATGACTCTCTCATCGATGTTTCTAACTCTCTATCTCTCTCCCTTCCTCTCTGTACAAAATCAATAAAATATATTTTTTAAAAATTATATATATATATATTGATATATATATATTGATATATATATATATTGATATATATATGTGTGTGTGTGTGTGTGTGTGTGTGTGTGTGTGTGTGTATGTACGTATATGTATATATTTAAGCCGGGACCAGTTTGGCTCAGTGGATAGAGCGTCAGCCTGCGGACTGAGAGGTCCCGGGTTCAATACCAGTCAAGGGCATGTACCTTGGTTGCGGGCACATCCCCGGTAGGGGGTGTGCAAGAGGCAGCTGGTCGATGTTTCTCTCTCATCGATGTTTCTACCTCTCTAATCTCTCTCCCTTCCTTTCTGTAAAAAAATCAATAAAATATATTTAAAAAAAAAAAAAAAGGTTGGTGGCTCTTCCTTAACCCTTTTCTGAAGTCCTGGTAACTAGAACATCACTCACAGTCAAGGGCCCTTCATTTAAATCTTACTGACTTCACCAAACAGACACACACACACATATTAGAGGAACAAAAATCTTTCCGAAACACATGTGAGAATTCTATTCTGATAAAGGAACATAGACTTGTATAGTTCCCATCCATGTACTCAGAATTTAGTCTGTTCTCCCTTCAAACCGTTCTCCTATTGATTCTACACCTATGGAAATACTTATTCAACCTAGAATGACCTCTCCACTGATTTTTTTTTCCAGCAAAGAAATCACACAAATTAGAATCATGACACTGAATCCAATGAAAATAAAATGAGTAAGAACACTTATCCCCGAAGTTTCCAAGTTGGGAGACAAAAGGAAAAAATAAGAGTTCCCAGGATATTAACTTTCAATTTAAATATCTCAATATTTGAATGAGTCTTACATACAACTTTATAATATATATATATATATTTTTTTTTTTTTTAATTTTTATTTTTTTTAACAGAGAAGGGAAAGGAATAGAAAGTTAGAAAACATCGATCATCAGCTGCCTCCTGCACACCCCCCTCAACCAAGGTACATGCTCCTGACTGGAATCAAACCTGGGACCCTTCAGTCTGCAGGCTGACGCTCTATCCACTGAGCCAAACCGGTCAGAGCTTACATACAACTTTTATAACTCTTAAGTATGCAGTAACTAAGCCACTACTCAAAAATGACAAAACTGTCTGAATAAGAATCCTGGGGTTTCCTTTGGATTCTTCCTAGAAAACACACTCTCAGGAAAAATATCTGACTTCAAACTTTTGACCATCAGATGCTAATTTTGACATTAGCATCTTCACCACGACAGCTGAGACTTCGAGAAAGGAGAAATAAGTATTAATTTTTAAAAATTAAAAAAACTGAAGAGAAAAAAAAAGCAAACTGGACAGCAAACAAAATTTTCTACTAAACAGAAATTGTCATCGCTACGCTCGTGAAAATAATGCAGACTTTGAAAAGCAAAACTAGACAAAAGATAGCATGGTCCCTTTACTTCGGAAGTCTCCGGTGACAAATCTATAACGCTAGGGAGGAGGAACCACACGTAAACAACAAATCGCACCTAAATATCTGTCCGGGATACGGGGAGTCACACCCCAGAACTCCGCCTCAGTTTCCCTAACCTAAAAAGGCAAGAACATGACACTTCCCTCGGAGGATCCAGAGGACCTAGTTCCATTTCCTACACCTACCCAGGGTCCCTTCAAAGGCCAATCTCACTAAGGGGTCCCCAGTGCAACTGAGTCACGACAAGGGAGTGTTTTGGGGGGGGGGCGGGGGAGGACGATCAAAGCGCGCAAAGCTCTACCCGTTCCTGGAAAGCGATTTCCCCCTACACTGAGGGGTGCCAACACCCGCCCTCGACCCAACATCCCCTCCCTACCGAACCACACCGGGCAGCCTCAGCATCTCTGCTCTCCTTCCGGCTTCTCCCTCAGCTCCCAGCCGCCTCTCGGACCGCGCCCCCGAACGCAGCCGGGTAAGCTCCTCCTCTGGCCGCGTCTCCGCAGCCGACCCGCCCGCCCACCCGCCGGCGCCAAGGTCTTCCCAACCAGACGACGGAAGGATGCCGGGCCGGGCCGGGCCTCCCAGGCTCCTCCCGGGCCTACCTGCGAGGCGGGCGGGGGGCTCGGTTCGCAGTCCAGCGGGTGGACAGAGCCACAAGGAGGAAGAAGAGGCGGGAAGGGATCAAGGGTCCGCTCTACCGGCCCGCGGGAGAAAGCCGCTTGAGCGCGGGGCCGCGCAAAACAGTCAGCCTTCGACCCGGCACTACCGCCGCTCAGGAGACATCAAGCGAGAAGACGGCGCAAAAGATTACCGAATGCACGAACGTCCCAGACATCAAAGGACGAGCGCCCGCGCAATCGTTCAAGGCAGCTGCAGTCGAGCGCCGAAAAAGCCATCTCCGTTCCAGTTCAAAGTCCGGCTCCTGTCCAAGGCGCAAATAAACAAACCCAGATCGATCGTTAGCCGTGGAGTAAAGAAACCTGTATTTCTGCCATTTTCTGTGCCCGTTGCCGGCTAAGTTGATGAGAGAACAGGGGTTTTTCTTCCGAGTGTTGAAGATCAAGTCATAGCACAATAACACTTGTTTTAATTACAGTTCAGCGACGACCTTTTGGACTCAAAACACTATTCTAATTGAGCAAATTTGACAGTTTTCTCATGGGACAGTGAGGTGAATGAAAGATAAAAAGATTATATAGATAGAGCTAGATAAATAAATATATATAGATATACATATTCATATGACAAAGGCACAGAGAGAAAATGAAAGAGAATCCAGACTAAGGAACAAAATAAAAAGTGTATTAAAACTTCTATTTAGCTCCCATAAGCATAGCAAAGAGAAGCTGGGGAAAGTCAGGGTTGTGTCTGTCCTTAAGGCAGAAAAAAAAAAAAAAAAAAAAAAAAAAACACGTACTGCTTTTCTCTTTTATTTTCTTCCAACAGCCTAGAACCACAGGTATGCTTTCGTAATAATCAAAAAAGTCTCTGGGTTCAGAACCTGACAAAATGTGTTGATATTTTCTTTTTCTTTTTTTAATATATTTATTGATTTTGTACAGAGAGGAAGAGAGATAGAGAGTTAGAAACATCGATGAGAGAGTCATTGATCAGCTGCCTCTTGCACACCCCCTACTGGAGATTTGCCTGCAACCAAGGTACATGCCCTTGACTGGAATCGAACCTGGGACCTTTCAGTCCCCAAGCCGACGCTCTATCCATTGAGCCAAACCGGTCTCCGCATGTGTTGATATTTTCATTCTCACAATAATAGCCTCTTTCTGGTCTCTTAGTAAACAAACTAATATGCTCATCACAAATATGGATTCAGTACATTCTAAACACAATTCAAGATATCCCATAGTCAGATCAATATAACATCTGACTAGCAATAATAGAGTTTATCCCACCTTGCCCTAAGAAGGAAGGAGACTTGGACAATAAAGATATTATAAGAAAACAAGATTTTTTAAAAAGATAGCCCTAACCCTTAGAGAATTTATAATCAAATCAAAATGAAAGATATTACAACATAAGCTTTATTTATAATTTATTGGTGCTTTTTCAAATTATAATGAAGTTTATTTAGAAAGTTACAGAGGTTGTAGAAGTGAGTCAGCTGGGCTGCAAAGGCTCAGGAAAAAAGTTACAGAAGCAGAAGAAAAGCCCTTGAAGCTCAGGAGAGAGAAAGGCCAAAACACCTTGCCTGGGAGAAGAAGGTAGAGGGGAGGGAAAGATGGGGGCAGGCTCCCTGAGGGAAATCAGGCCTGTTGTTATTTTTAAAGTCTCCTACTTTAGGTCCCTGAAAATGTTTAAGGGATAACTCATACATATAATGCAGGATGAGACCAGCATCCATAATATGAGGACAAATCACTGGGCTTTTGTTGTCTACCACTGTTTTAGGGGACTTTTATTTTTTTTTAATATATTTTATTGATTTTGTACAGATAGGAAGGGAGAGAGAGAGAGAGTTAGAAACATCGATGAGAGAGAGTCATCGACCAGCTGCCTCTTGCACACCCCCTACTGGGGATATGCCGGCAACCAAGGTACATGCCCTTGACTGGAATCGAACTCGGGACCCTTCAGTCCCTAAGCCGACGCTCTATCCATTGAGCCAAACCAGTTTGGGCTGTTTTAGGGGACTTTTAAAATGAGTAAACATTAGCTCAGCTAGTGTAGCTCAGTAGTTGAGGTCGACCTATGAACCCAGTTGTATTCTGAGATCAGGCACCTGCCAGGGTTTCAGGCTTGCTTCCCAGTGTGTGGAGCATGCAGGAGGCAGTTGATAAATGATTCTCTCTCATCAATTATGTTTCTATCTCTTTCTCCCTCTCCCATCCTCTCTGAAAACAATAATAAAAAAATTAAATGAGTAAACATTATGGCAACAGTAATAAAAGTCTTTAAAAAGAATTTTTTAAAATATATTTTATTGACTTTTTTATAGAGAGGAAGAGAGAGGGCTAGAGAGCTAGAAACAACGACCAGCCGAAACTGGTTTGGCTCAGTGGATAGAGTGTTGGCCTACGGACTGAAGGGTCCCAGGTTTGATTCCGGTCAAGGGCATATACATTGGTTGTGGGCACATCCCCATTAGGGGGTGTGCAGGAGGCAGCTGGTCGATGTTTTTCTCTCATTGATGTTTCTAACTTTCTATCCCTCTCCTTTCCTCTCTGTGAAATATCAATAAAATATATGTTAAAAAAGAAAAAAGAAACATCAACCAGCTGCCTCCTGCACACCCCCTACCGGGGATGTGCCTGCACCCATGTACATGCCCCTGACCGGAATCGAATCCGAGACCCTCCAGTCCGCAGACCAATGCTCTATCCACTGAGCCAAACCGGTTTCGGCTAAAAAGAATTTAATCACCTGTTTCCAAAACACAGTTTTAATTTGTTCATGTTTTCTTGTAATCCTTGGAAATAGCCTACATGATTTTTAAAGTTTAAGCAGAAATACAATAGTTTTGCATTGTATCAGTTCTCTATTGTGGACGAAACCACATGCTAACCTGACAAGCTCAGGGGAGACCTGCATGGCAAAGTCTTGCAAACTCAGAGACGTAAGGTCACCACAAAGGATGCCCTGAAATTAAACTTTAAAAGCAGTTATGGTGGGCAGTTACATCCTAGGCTGGTATCTCCACTGACTAGGTCAACCTGTACCTTAACAAGCCTATGTCTTTTTGCATCTATGATAGCATGCCCTTGAAGTGTCTTGGTAACTTCTAACTTCCCTCTTTCTGGACCCTCTGCGGCACAACCAAAAGTGCTGGGCTCCAGGACAGATACCACAAATTCCTTCATTACCAAGTCAACTGTTCCTGCACCCACCTAAGTATGTGTCCATCATTTTGCTTTTTTAAAAAATATATTTTATTGATTTTTTTACAGAGAGGAAGGGAGAGGGATAGAGTTAGAAATATCAATGAGAGAGAAACATCGATCAACTGCTTCTTGCACACCCCCTACTGGAGATGTGCCCGCAACCAAGGTACATGGCCCTTGACCTGAATCGAACCCTTCAGTCCGAAGGCCCACACTCTATCCACTGAGCCAAACTAGTTAGGGCCAGCATTTTATTTTTTATCCAATCCCAGGGTTTTTCCCGCTTTGCTTTCTCCCGCCTCTCTAATCTATCACTAATGGATTTCATGTAAGCCACCTAAGTCCCTTCCTTTGATTGCACGGTACAAATACAGATGTAACCCGCCATTCTCAGGAGCATTATCTCAATTCCTTGAATTTCTGCTCCCCAGCATTTGTCAACAGTTTGGCTCAAATAAACACACAAAAATTCTTTACAAGTTTCAATGTTGTTGTTTTTTTATGTTAACACTATTAAAGCTCTTTAATCGTTGTTATTGTTTTTTAATGTATTTTTATTGAATTAAGAGAGGAAGGGAGAGGGAGAGATAGAAATATCAATGATGAGAGAGAATCATTGATTGACTGCCTCCTACTCACCCTACCCTGGGGATCGGGCCTGAAATCTGGGCATGTGCCTTAGACCAGAATCAAATCCGAATGCCTTTAGTCCACAAGCCAATGCTCTATCCACTGAGCCAAACTGGCTAAGGCTATAGTTGTTATTTTTAACAAGTGCACATGATTCCATTGAGAGGATACACTGACTGTGCTCCCCATTGTTGAATATTATGTTGCTTCCAAACATTTTCTGTGTAATAGGTATTGCTACTTTTTGAAAGAGGCAGTTATAACGTTACTATTTTTTTTAATCAGGACCTATTGTACATAAACAGAAAGAGTAAGGAAGCATGGCAGAGGTGCATTTCTCTGTCATATAAAAGAAATCCAGAGATGTACAGCCCACGGTAAGGTGTGGCTGTTCAGTATCAGGAACCAGGCTTCTATCTTGTTGCTTTGACAACTTCAATAAGTGGCTTTCATATCAAGTCCAAGACAGCTGCTCAAGTTCTAGCCAATCATATCGACCTTCCAATCAGCAGGAAGCTGAGAGAGGAAAGGCACGTCTCCTGGCCATAAGGACACATCTTGAAAATAGCACAGGACATTTCCACTTATATTCATCCCACTGGCCAGATTTGTCACATAGCCACACCTAACTGGCAAATAGTCTATCCTACAATAGCTATGTAACCTCCAAAAGTCAGGGGCAAATGGATACGAGGTGACAACTAAATAAGAAGTCTCTTATTGCTAGATGAGGAGAGGGCAAATAGACTCCTTTGCTGTCATCGGAGTTGAGTTTTCTATTTCTACAATACATGCTTTAGAATGTATACAGCAGTGTCTAGAACAACAGCCCTCAAAATGGACCCAAAATAACAAAATTATTTTGAAACCTTTTCAGTGAGAAAAGCTAAAAATTTTAAAAATATATTATCACTGACTTCAGAGAGGAAGGGAGAGGGAGAGTTTTCAGTTTTTCAAAAGCTGGAGAAAATGGAGATTTTGGAGAAGCTGAGGCTAGACTGCTCTGTGAAACCATAAAAATTAAAATAATAATAATAATAATAATAATAATAAAAAGATGGCTTATTCTTCCGGCAGAGTTGCATCTCTAAAAATAAATTTCTTTAAAGAATTGTTTCCTTTCAAATATGGCTTTAAGCTTCAGTGTGACAGTACACTACTGTTTGTTTTTATGGAGAAGTCTATTTGGACAGAGGAGTAGATCTTAAAAGAGATCGATTGAAACCCTCACACCTACGGGAAGGAAGACCTAAAAAAAGAAAACTAGGTGGGCAGAAGTAAAGATCATCCAGGGATGCACCACCCATGCCTACATATTGGGTTTAAAACTCAGTAATTCATTACTCCCATTGTTGATTATTGTATTCTG